AATGTTTACAAGTGGTAATCAAAAACCCTCAAAGGAATAAAGTATATGCTTCCTCTGAATAATAGACCCACACGCGTACCTATTTTCATAAGCTACGAGTTATAGGTATACCCACTAACTGCTATATTTAATTAAATCTTAAACGTGTTATTATTACTATTTATTTTTTATTGTTCATTTATAAAATACGAGTCTAAATATTCTATGTAAGACTTGAAATGAATTCTCCTGTGCAATGAATGCAGCCACGAAAGGAAGCTGAAGCAGCTAACTAATGTAGTAGGATGTCCAAATTCTGCTTTGAGTTAAATACAACGAATACTGGTGCATATTATTCTCGTTAACCTTTGACTTCGCGTGAAATTTTATAAATGGTTCCGAAATCCATGTATTTTATTTGGTACCATGCAGACATACTAAAAGGGATGGTATGGTATTGGTATATGTATGTTCCGTGATTTAATCCCCGAAAAAATGTTATATGTTAAAGAAAAATAAGCTTTTCCGGGAAAAGTACCAATTGATGACCGGCATGATGTTGTTTGGTTGGTGCGTGAGTGTTACCATTAAATAATTCTTTGACCAACAAAATATGTTATTATATCTATATTAAATTCGAAGTTACTACTTCGTTTAAAAATAATAGAGTAGTAGACAAGGGTGCATAATATTATAATGAATACGTATTATATATTATAGTTGATTTATTTCTTTACATTTTAAATAATTTAAGAAAAATTACACCGCATCTTTTTTTTTTGTATAAAATGTTATGATACAATTTTATTTTATTATTATTAATTATTAAGTAAAATGCAATTATTGTTATGTATAACATTTGTTAACAATACATTATAATTTTCAATAAAATACAATTATTTATTTAGCTGTTGCTATAATATTACATAACATTATAATACAATTTAATTAACATCCGTTTATAGTAAGTATATTCCGGGGTGTATTTCAAAACTCAATTTTAACATATAAAATAACATATCTTGTTAAGTTTTTTTGAAATTTCAATATGTATACGTTTGTTAAATGGTTTTTTTCTAATTTTCGTACAAACGTTGTAGGCACATCATAATTTAAAATTGGTTCTTCTACATTATTTTAATCTTTTATCGCTATTCGTTTATTGCAAATCAATTTAACCCAACTTAATTTAGATTATCATAAATTACAAGAGAATTGAAATATCTGACTACTCAGTGATTTTTGAGGTGATTTTATTTTACTTTAACAAATTTACTAATATAGTATATTAAAACACGAAGACAACTTTTAGATTATAACTTAACATGGCTGGAATCTACCAAAGTTTTCATACTAATGTATTATATACTATTATATACGTTTGTATAAATATTCAAAAATAAATTGTCCTCGATGCCTATAAATGCTTACTTACTTAGTGAGCAGATTTAAGTAGGTACTTAAAAAAATTAACTTGTATCTGTATTATAGATTAGATTATACATAATATAAAGTAAATAATGTAGTTCAATATAACGAAATAATATTTGTATGATTATTACCTTGAATTTTATACATATTCTTAAATAAAACGCTATCCCATAACATAAATTGTGTGCTGACTTTTTAAATTCACATATATTATGCCCTTTTATTAGACAGTATTTAATCAATATTTTGCATTTATTGCTAATTTACTTTTCAGTTACTAACACATTTTCATTGTCCAATTTTCGCTTTTTGTAATAATTTTACTCACCTTATTGTGTACAAAGAATGCATACAACGATACCGCCGTTGACCCAAATCATTGAATATTTTGTCTAGAACTATACGTGTTAAAAAACGCATTATAAAATACCGGTTTTGATTCGCCCACCACTATATTATGGACTTGAACTCCACACTGCCGACAAACGCTTAACACATGACCCGAGTAAAAGGGAATTTGAGGAGTATACTATAATTATACTAAACATATAAATGTAATTCACGGAAACGATAAAAATTGTTTTCTTTATATACGTAAGATCCAGGGGCTCAAGAGGCGAGAAAGTTCAAAAAGTATTATTTACTTATGAACAAAGTTTATTCATATAGACTCTAATCTGTAGTTAGTACTTTTCAGAAATAATCTCTATACCTATGATTTAAAAGTAAGATTATGCTTCAGCTTTTTGGCATATCGTTTTGTTGTTTAAGACGATGGTTGCTTGACTAATAAAATTAGTCGAAATTATAACCCTCGTGAAGTCGCGACACATCATGTGTATCATATTATGTAAATATGCTATACCTATAAAGACTAATTAAAAAATATATAACAAGTTTTGGCCACATCAGTGGGGAAGGAATATTATTTGGAATAAAATATTATTATTTGTAAAATTATCGATTATATACGTTGTATACTACCACAAAGTATCAGGCATTTAGATACTTTTTAAAAATATTCGAAGACAGACACAGATATACTTATTTTGAAAATTATTTAAAGTATTCATTTAAATACTCAGTAAAAAAAGTATTTGAGTACGATTACAAATACCTTAAAACAGTTTTTCTTGATACTTTCAAATACCTACTTTAAAAATGTTTATAAATACATATGTTTACCTTTTAAATCAACAGAGCCGATTTTCATGTTTAACATTAATTTTAGTTATTAGAATTGTACATCGTATAATTTGCTGTAACTAACAAAATGTAGTATATACATTATACACATCTGATTTTTTGTCGAAGTATTAGAATTTTCGTTTGAGTATAATTCAATAAAAACTGAAATAGAAAATAATATGTAAGCTAAAATGAATAAGTATTTAAAAATTAGTAATTGCAGATTTTAAATACAATTACTTTGAGAAAGTTTTTAAAATGTATTGCGCATTTTAATACTTTAACTTAAATACTTTAATTAAAGTACTTTACAAGACTGGCAATATGTAATATTTCCAAAGTTGTTATAAGATTGGTCTCTGATATTTAGTTTGTAATCGAAATTTGAGTATTTGATAATACGATAAAATTACAGTTATGGTCGGGCAGGTTGATGTTAAATCATAATTTAATTTCAAATTTATAGCTAATATACACTGGGTAGTGTTAATTCTGTGAGCATACGTTGTGTCATTAATGTATGTTCTGTAGAATAATAATATTTTGTAAAAAAATCAAAATCAATGGCCAATGTGGTATATAATTGGTATTATTTCACATTCCAAATCAGTCTAAATAGTATCCATTCATAAAGCATATTATTATGTTGTGTAGATTCTACACCGTATATAGATACATGTTTGAATACAAGTGATCAACCTCGAATACACCGTGGTATATAGTGATGACAAGATGGCAATATAGCGATAAAATAACGCTCATCACTTTCACTCTGTTGCTAAATTCGGTTGGATAAAAAAAAAATCGATCACCCACGAATGCAGTTGGACACGTCAATGTATCATATTTGATCTTTGAAATAAAGGCTATCATGCACGTATTATACAATACGATTTGATTTTTATTTGTATAGATAATATACACGTTTCGTACATTTATCATTTATCGAATATCGGCTATCACCCCAAAATAATTTTGGATGTTGTTCATATTTTATCCAACAGTTTATGTACTGTGCCTAATCGCTTATACCGGTCTTCGGATACCGCAGGGTACCACCACGTAAATAATCTTGTGTTCCTACAATATGTTTGCACCTGGTTTACCCGGAATTGGACTGCGGAATGCGTGCAAAACTGTGATGTGGTTCGTACCTGGTTGGTAGAAGCTCTTCTTCGTAAAAACGGCATGTAATAAGCCGTGGGAGTAATCGCTTATAGGTAGTACATAACAATAGATTCCGGCAAGAGCGGACTTGGCATTGCTACAGGAATGTAATTTGCATTATACGTTTTAACAATAAACCTATATCTAAATGGCGTACAACAATAACAATATTATATTATTATAATATGCTGTGTGGTTCAAATTATATGTACGGGGGTGTAGTTTTTTTTTAAATATTGAAAATTTAAATGTACTGTTAATATTTTTGGGGCCAAAGATTATTGAATGCAAAAGGATTGATCAAATATTGAACAAATCGAACTTCGGAACCAATAGATTCTTTATTTCTAACAAACGTTTACAATTTTTAATATTTACGAGTTGCTGAGACGCTGGGTATATAGTCATACACAATAGCAAATCGAAAATGTCCTTACACGAGTGCTTACCACTTCAAGTTATATAGAGTGCCACGAATCCCATAATACACGTAATAATATCTTATGAATAATTGGTTTTCACATACTTTCAGTTAACTTTTGAAAATATTTATAAAATATAAAAATCAATAAACTGCAGGATAATTATTTTAACAGTGCGAATGCAATTCTAATATACTACACATATATACTGCCCTAATTCTCGCATAACATTTTATTTTCATTGCCCGAAGTGGAGAATTCTCCTGTATACATTTCTACGTAGAAAATATATCCATGTTAATGAACTAGAATTTTTTAATTAATAAGCAATTTAAGTATAATACAGACGAGTCTGCGTGCATTACACATTTTTATTAGTATTTGTTGACGGTTTATCTCCTTAGATAGTATGTGTATCGCATATTGTATACAGTAAAATATTATACTATATAATGTACAACTTTTTCATGCCGTTCTAACTCAGAAAATATTGGTGTGGATCACTCCAGGCGCCGCGCCAATATTTGCTTATGGATGGTTCACACTGTAGCACTATCCGTTGTATAGCAATATTTATCTTCATAATAATAATATCAAATATGAAGTAGAAACGCATATTATGACATCATATATTTTTTAAATATTTAAAGTTTATATTTTATCATATTTATTTTCGTATGAATACAGCCGTTGTTGGGGGGGGGAGTTAGGGGTCCAATTATAACACCTATAACACCCCCAGGCTATACCATTGGATCACATCGTGTAGGATAAATCCCTAATAATATTCGTATATTTTTGTGTGTTTCGCAGGATGCTACTGATCGTTGTCAGTTGACCACGGTCGCCGCCACGACGGCATTTGTGCAGTGCCTACCGCTGTCCGAACGACACGTCACCGCTGCACGGTCGAGCGCAAAAGAGCAGCGACTGCAATAACGGACGTCCGCCGCGGTACGAACGTGCGGCGGACATGCACACTGTGCGCGCCGCCAGCGTAACGCCATGCCGGAGCTGTCGCCGGGCGCGTTGTTGTTTTTTTCCACATCCGCCGCCCCCGACGACCACCGACATCGTTATCGCTGTCCTCCCGACAACGACTTTGGAGCGTCGTCCTCGACGACCGTCACCTTCCTGGCCGCCGGCGCCTCGGCGACATCATATGCAGTTGCCGACCGTCCGACGTTTTTCGTCTGCCGCCACCGCCGTCTAAACGACGCATCATCGGCCGCCACCGACCGCCGAAATGACAGTGCTGAAGAACCGACGGATGATGGCCGGTCGTCCGTTTTCCGTGAAACGCTGCGTGGCGGCGCTCATGGTGCTTGGCTTCCTGTCCATATTCTATTACACGCATTACCTGAGTTCACCGATCGCCAGGTAAAATTCAAACACGTGTACCGTTGCGATATTAACACTTATGAGTAGAATAATTGTGGTCTCGGAAAATTGCTGCACGCGCAAAAGTGAATTCAAAAGTATTTTAAAGAGATTTTTTTTACTGTTGTTAAAATCGAGTGATCCCTCATTTTACATTTTTCACAGGCTTTATATTACAAGTATAATGTAGATAGTAGGTACTAATGCAATATTTCGATAGTCTTTTATACACAGAACATCCTATATTTAGTATTTTCAAAAATTTCGGATAGGTAATCACCCCGGTAATCATTATGACTTTTATCACCGCATAAATTAATATCGGCATTAACAGTTTCAGGAATTGGTTAGGTAGGTATATGATTTAAAGAATTTACCAATTTACTAAATTTTACCAAGTATTAAATTTATAGAAAAATGTTCACCAGTAAATTCCATAATCATATAGTTGAATATATTCGGGTTCGGGCTTCGTCGCATTTGCGTGTAAAAATAAGCTTATTGTTGTTTTTTTTAGGTTTTATTATACGTTAATTATTACCCGGAAAGCCATAAATCCGTTTCTTCGCTACTAATGAAATATAACTAAAATATTTTGGTGTGCGTTCTAGCACATTTAGGGATATTATTTAAATTATTATTATAAACTCTAAAAGCATATTTCCTGCAGATTTAACGATGTTTTTTTTCATCGCAAATCGTATTATAAATACAATTTTTAACACGATTAATAAATTCGATCATATAAATGCGAATAAGAGTAGAGAAAATTAATATTTAAATGTCTATCTAAATTTAAAATAAACTCACTTCCAATATCAGTATGATTTTACATACATAAAAATTCAAAACCAAGAATAATGAAGTATAATATATTTCTTTGTTTTTAAGCTCTTATTTTTGTTTTTATAGTCAAATAGCTGCAGCATACCTGCATGCATTGTTAGTACATCTAGAATGCATTAAAGTCCAATCCCGAAATATTATGTACATAGAACGACTGCTCATCGACTTTATAGACATATTAAGAATTTTAATTTTAAACTTTCCGCATGACCCCTATAACATGCTGCTTACTATAATTTCTATATTGGACAGTAAAGACAGCATTTGGGGGTGATTCATTTAACCGCCTAAAGTTATGTGAGTGAGGGTGCAAAAATGATAGTTTAGTTGAAATTGAACCTTATTTTTAGTACCGCTAAGGTGATGCTGCACACTTAGTGTTGTTAGGTAGTCTACCCATATTATAGTTTATTATAGGTTTTAGCCGAGATACATTTTTGAAAATCTGAGTAATATTATTAGCCGTTAATTATAAGTTAGTAATATTATGCTAGTTGTATGAATATATTTATGAGTGATTCTAAACATTTAACCATACCATGTCTACCATCCTAACCCAATAAAAAAAATACAAAGCGCAGGAGAACGCTTGTCCAAACGGGTTGTGACTAGCGTGATTGAGTAATATTTTTGGCTCTAACTCTTCATATCCGCTTGAATTTAAACATTTGAGGGGTGGCCAAACGAAAAGAGTTTTATTTTTTTTATTTTTATATTTTTGCATAAATTTATATTTATTCCATTAGCGTTTATTGACAACAAAAGCAAATCTTATTATGTGTCTCGAAAAACAAGAATCAAATGTTTGGAAGGGTGCAGGAACTTAAATAATATAATAGGTAAGGTACATGAATAAAGTTAAGAAACACAACGCGTGCGGTAGACGTTTACAGCTCTTTTTCGTCTTCTCATAATAATAATAATACAATAGACGCCAATGTAATGCGTATAACAGACGATTTTTTTAATACATATTCTTTTTAACCATTACCACCCGGACACAGTGCGTGTGTGGCCGTAAAAGATTTCCAAGTTATTGTGTAAGAACCTTACCCAATATTTTATTGCGTTGTATACTATAATATATATGTAATTTGTATATTATATTTAATATTATTATTTTTATCACTTGACCGAACCTTAGTAATATTGTCAATAATTGCGGGCCACGCGGTATCGTTTTATACTTTTATATTTTTATTAATATACTCACATTTCTACTTATAATATTACACTATTGCTTGCACTATTGTTACGGTTTTTTACTTACTCATTAAACCTAAATCTCAAGCAGGTATACCTAGAAATAATAATTAAATGTCAACTACCAATCAGTGAATTTATATCGGCTCATAGTGTAATAGATTTGGTACATATTTTGCTATTATACTAATGGTTAATAAAGATTAATTACTAAATAATATTCTTTTATTATTAATATCTATGTGCAACAACATGCTTACCTAATAATCGCGCATGCACATTTGTATAAACAGTTATTGTTCATTTTTTTTTATGTTTTTGAGTAATCTTAGGGTATAATTACACATTACAAAAATTATCGAGCATAATATTTTAGAGGGTAGAATGTATACATTTCTTTAAATATTGTCTCAAAAAAATTTAATATCCATTTAAATTTGTGAAATTTTATAAAAAATATTATTTTCTCTAATTATTTATGTACCTAATAAATAGTTTTTTTATTTTACTTTTAAGATTAGCAACTCAAAAGTCATAAAAAACGATTTTATCTTAATGAGTCTTAGAAAAAACAAATATTGTGCTGACATTCTCTTAATATTTCGGCATGAATATAAAAAAAGTGAAGAAAAATTAATTCTCTGTTTTTATAACTTATTAATGACATTATAATATTGTCAATAATTTAAATGGATACTTATTAACTTATAAATATCCATCGATAAAACATAATACGTTTCATCTTTTATTCATCGGTCATTGACGTATATTGTATTATGTTGATAATATTTATTTTCTTACTAAAAGGCGCAATTGTAAGCAAAAAATCACAAATAAAAAAAATGTGTTTCTTAAATATGGTTTTTTTAAAAGATAGATAGTATTTCAATAATTTATGAACAAATATTTTAACTGTACCTAATGATTAAAATTACGTACAATATATTTAAAAATATTATGTAGTTACGTTAGATAAAAAATAACATTAGTCAAGAATGTGAATGTGATGATTATAAAAAAATCTTCGCAGTCGGTAGGATTCGAACCTACGCTCCCAGAGGGAATCTGATTTCTAGTCAGACGCCTTAACCGCTCGGCCACGACTGCTTGGTGATAAGGTTAGGTAAAATCGTATGCACTTAACGATACTGCATACATAATTCCGTAATATATTTTTTGTTTTAGACACCCACAGGGCACAAACAAAACTATAATCATATTGTCAAATAATTTAATTTGTTAAAAAAGAAATGTCATAAAACATTAATTGAGTGGCTGTGGACCTACATAATATTATGATATCTGTGCCTATCTATTTTGTTTATGAAATTAAGTAGTTAAATCATATCGTTTTTTTGTATTATTGCTGTTGATACCGAATACTGATTAATACAAGTTATAACATAATAATATAAATAACATAAGTAATACAATTTTATATATATCTATTATAATGTACCCATAACTTATTGCCTATAGAAACAAGTAAGTAGTAACAATTTTATTTTTCACGCGAATCAACTTTACCACACAGAATATATTTATCGTGGGCAACATGAATCCTATAAGATTTGTATTACATAATGATATTTATTTCACCAAATATTAGTAAAAAAATGCTTGCTTTCTGGACCTGAGTATAGGAGAGGTAGGTGTCACCAAATTTAAGTTTTCGGCAAAGACAAAATAAATAAAAAAAAACTTTTTTTGTCATCTAAATTTGATCACGTTAAAACTTTTATCATGATCCATATGTGTATAAGTAGACGTCGATGATAATATGCTATACATGAATTACATTATTATTTGTTTCAAATATTGTGTTTTTGATTATTTTATTTCTAACATTGACTACATAGGCCATTATATAGTTATAGATACCTACTGCAGATGTACATTTTTTAACTACCAATGCAATAATTTGCATAATTATTTTAGTTGCAATTTGTCTATAATATTGTACAATTATACATATTTAATAATGTGTCTAAGGTCTAACTGTAATTACTGTTCCACAAAATGTACAGATTAGTTGGTATTTCTTTTAAACTTGCAAGTTTTTATCATTTATGAAAATTGTTTTTTTAGGTACATATTCTATTGATTTTTTGGCTTCGTGGTCTGTTTTTTATTTAATTTTATGTTGTTGTGATCGGTCATCCAAAAAAAAGGAATTTTTTATTTCCATATTTTGTATTTTGAATGTTTTTTCAAAAATAAGGCTAACACTGTCTGTTGTGTTTTCTGTGTTATTTTTGAAACAATTTATTGTGCTCATGGTGGTTTTTATATCACAGTCTTTATAAAAATAATTCATTTTTAGATAAAATTCAGAAAAATAAATGCGCCTTGGGCTTATTTGTCTTAACCAGGTCTTTTATATAATTCCTATTATAAAATATTTACCTTTCTTTCTTACTCGTATTATTAGTAAAAGATCAATCAGATAATAACAATCGAACAGTACCATTTGCCAGTTTACTAGGTATTGTATACACTATACATGAAACAGGACGATGGATGAGTGTTCGATTGGGAAGGATAGTTATTTCATATTTGGTATTTAAAGAAAATTTGTATCACCGTTTTAAATATACCACTCACGAGATATTCAGTCCTAGGGGTTTTGCTGTCGTGTCGGACAATATGTTGTAGTCATTGGTCAACTAAAACAATATTTAAGAGCGTTATACTAAGTACTAACTCGACCAGAATAATTTCTCTAAAGCCACCAAATATATAAATTAAAATATATTATTGTTGTGAGGGAGCATATATGAATTTACGTATAGTATTTAAATAAATACTCTATAGGTAATAAAAAAAGTAGTTCATACCATTGCTGTTTATAGACGTTAGTTAGTTTTATTTGTTTTTGTTCAAAAATAACTTTTCGTAAAACAAATATTTTCTAAAAAAACGATTGAGCAACTCATTAATTTTAAATTTTA